GAAGAATGTTTTATGGGGAAGTACAAGTGAGATTAATACCTTTCAATGCTAGCTAGCTTGAGAGTAATTAATTCCTTATTGTTTCTACTTCACCCCTTTTTGGCAAAGCTCCTGGAGCGTATTAAAGAAGTTATACAATATTCAAACAGAAAAGTAATACCTGAGAGGGTTGATGTGGCAGCACGAAGCATGTAAAACCATAAATATGGGCCCCAGGTAAGTTTTGTCTGCAACAAAAAGTTGGGTTAGCAACACTCATACCTAAACTCATTCTCTTTATTTAGGCAAGAATGAAATCAACACTTGGTGAGCACGTAGAATATTCTACAGACGGTACTACAAATAAACTACACTCCAATAAAAAATGTAAAACATTTATAGCTAGAACTCCAAAGGCATTTTACATTCACCCACATAACTATTATCACCTTAAGCCCATGAATAACCAAAAAAAGCAGCAGCCACTGAAATGGAGTTGGTAAGTCACAGTCTTGATAATTTAAGAGTTGATATTTCAGAGCCTTCCTTTTCCTGTCATGCTGCTTTTTTGTCTTCACTGCTCACCGGCACACACAAAAAAGTGTAGTCAATGGCAAGGGGCCTTAAGAAATCACACAGAACCACATACTTATGGTATAGTGGGGAAATTAAGGTTCAGAGAAATTAAGCAGGATAACAGCATAGCAAATGAATTTTAATAGTGGGAAATAAGTAACCACTAAGTGGCAAGATAAATTTTTTGTTTCTTTAAAGTCTAAAAGGGAAATTAGACCATAGCTTAGTTTATATTTCATAGGCCAGCACCGCTGGGAGAATGCAACCTCCATTGCACACCTTCATAGTTAATCTTGGTGCTCTAAATTCATAGAATACTTTTGTAAAGCCTGCCCCATAGGCAACAGTTTGTGCCTGTGGGTGAAACTGGTAATATAAGCATGCTTCATTGTGCCAGTATTTTTGTTCATTAAAAGAAAACATAGTGCCCTGGCCGGTGTGGCTCAGTCGGTTGAGCATCATCCGTGCACCAAAAAGTGGATGGCTCGATTCCTGGTCAGGGCACATGTCCAGGTTTCAGGCTCAATCCCGAATCCCCAGTGCAGGACAAACAGCCAATCGATGTTTCTGTCTCTCTCTCTCCCTGCTTCTCTCCCTCCCTCCCTCTCTCTCTCCCTTCCTCTCCCTCTAAAATCAATAAAATATATTAAAAAAACACCTCACAATTATAACAAAAGAAGAAAATATAGTATAATCAAGCAAATAGTAATTGTTTTGATATTGGTTCCAGGGAGGGGAGAAAAAGATAAACTTGTCCATAATCTTCTTAGGTAAGATATGCTAATGATTATAAGGGCAATAAAAAGTAAATACAGCTCTTTTCAGTCAGTGCCAAGCCATGGGCATCTTTCCAGACAAGTGGCACATCCTTACCAACACTTACCTTTTTGTTTGTTTATTTTGGTAATAGCCATCCTAACAAGTTAATAACTGAAGACAGATCTGACTTCACTTAATGTGAAGAGCAGATTTTCCATTTTCTATTTGCTTCTAATAATGCATCATAAAACTGATAGGACAAAGGAATTTTTAAAAGATACTGTCCTGTATTTATATAGATTTCTAAAACAGACCCAGTTTGTTTTTTTAAAACCCTGACATTTAAAATAAAGATTTAATACTCCTGGTATACTTGATAGAAAATAAGAAATGAAGACCTAGATTTTCTTACAGTCTTATTCATGGTAATACTTTCCCTTAGATTTTACCTTATATGTGCCTTAAGAATAAACATATTTCTTGCATTCCTTTAACCTTTGATTTAGTTTTGATTAGGGTTACTCAAATATGTGTATATGTGTGTATCTAAGTACATATATTTTAAAAATTTGATAGAGAACAGACTGACAGCTGTCAGAGGGGGAGGGGATTTCTCGGCTGAGTGAAAAGGTGAAGGGATTAAGAAAAACAAACAAACCCAAAACTCATAGACACAGACAACAGTATGGTCATTACCAGAGGGAAAAAGGGGTAGGGGAGGGGTAGGAGAAGGTATAGGAAACATAAGTGGTGATGGAAGGAGACTTGACTTGGGGTGGCGAACACACAATACAGCATACAGATGATAGATTATAAAACTGGAAAATCTACTCGTCACAATTTTTTTAAAAACCAATGAATGTTTTGAGAAAAGTGTAAGAAAAGAAGACACTTTATAGGTAGATTTCTTGAAATACAATGTGTAATTAAATTATGCCTGTTTAAGATTTTTAAAATGTTAAATATTAAAGTGGTAACTTTCTATGGCATTTTAAGATGTTCTTATTTTGCAAGAAAAAAATTTTTTTAAGTTATACAGGTAGGAGTTTTGTTGGCTGTAAGCTTTAAAAATCTTTTTCTGAAATGGAAATCACAAAGGAATTTAATTCTGGCCAAAGAATAGGATTCAGTGGAAAAATCCTCAGTGGCTGAAGTAAACTATAATGTGTTCTATTAATGTTTAATATTTCCCTCCAAAAAAATACTTAAGTTATTTAGGAAGGGGGAAAAAAACTTACTGCAAGTTTGTTCTTTATGACTAGCAGTCTATATTAAGCTACAGCATCGATATTCTTTTTTTTTAATCCTCACTCGAGGATATGCTTAGAGAGAGAGAGAGACAAACATTGATGTGAGAGAGAAACACCGATTGGTTGCCCTCTGTCTGCTCTTGACTGGGGATCAAACCCACAACCCAGATAAAGTGTCCTGACCGGGAATCCAACCTGCAACCTTTTGGTGCACGGGACAACGCTTAACCAACTGAGCCAAGCAACAGCAGTGAATGTCAACCACTGTGTCAAAAGAATGTTTAAAATATACAATACCTAACTATTTAGGGGAACCGACCTCTTTTCCCTTTGATTGTCAAATAAAAATATGACAACAGCCAACACAACAATAGCTGTCCAATATGAATGAATCAAATTACACCTTTTGTTTCTTGTCAGATTGGCAAAAAATATATTTTTTGGTGCACCACAGAACTTTAGTAATTAGTTTGTGTTTGCCATGAAATTAAAAAGGTTGAAAATTGCTGAGCTACAGCATTAAAAAAAATGGTGACAGACTAATATTATTAACATATGCATACATAAATAACAAATCAGATGAAGACATCTGAAGTTTAGGCAGCAATGAAAAATACCAAAAAAATAAATTACACCTATTTAAGCAAAAGATTTAAGTAACAGTTATGTTTTGTCTTGGTTAACCTTGTTGACATGGATAGTACTATTTGCTAATTACAAGTTCTTTATGAACTATACTAGATTTTATTTTTCTGTAAAAATTATATTTAGAAGTCAAGTAAAATGTCAGCTGTCAGCTTCAGGCTAAGTTTACAACATAAGTTTCCTACTGGCAGTATAATATACCACACATACTATATTACATTATATTACATTTATTGTTATATTAATATGTAATAGCAGCTCCTATTTATCTAAAACTCACTGTACTCAGAGGGTACAGGGGGGATAAGTGGTGATGGAAGGAGACTTGACTTGGGGTGGTGAACACACAATACAATGCACAGATGTATTATAGAACTGTACACCTGAAACCTACATAATTTTATTAACCAATGTAACCCCAATAAATTCAATTAAAAATAAATAAAAATGAAACAATATTAACTATATATATACTAACTAACATCATGCAATTCTGATAACATTCTCTTTCCTGCCTGCATATTGGTCCTATTTAGCTGTTGAATAATAATAAATATATAAACGAATTGTTAAAATAAAACTTAAGAGTTAAAAAAAATTACAACTAAACTACAGAACCATCACTTGAAAACGCCTAAAATCTAGCTGAATGGAAGTTCTACAGCTAAGGATTTAAAGCAGCCACATCAAGACTGGCAGGAGGTGTGGAGACACAAAATAAGCTGGTCCCACACCCACATATGGCATTCTAAAACTGAGAGAGTATCTCGGCTGTGGAGGTCCCCTCTCAGGAGATAGGCCTCCCAGCCCAGGGTTCCAATGCCAGGAAGAGAGATTCCTATAACTTCTGGCTGTAAAAACCAGCAGAGACTGTGGCTAAGTGAGACAGAGGGCTGCTGGAATCGCAGGAAGTTCCTCTAAACAGGCCTGCACATGGACTTACTCAGACTCACTCTTTCTGATCTCCAGCACTGGGGCAACAGCTTGAAAGGTACCAGGGACATACAGGGAGGAACTGAATTGTCTGACATCAAGGAGAGAGTCAAGGGGGGCAAGGGAATGCAGCTTTCAGCCAGACAAAAGTGCTGGCAGAGGCCATTGTTCCTTTTCTGAGACACTCCCACCCCTAACACCCCAGAGCCAGCAGGTGGGCACCATATCTGAGTCTTCATCAACCTAGCTCACACTGTACACCTGCCCTGGTGATTCCGAGACTCCACCCAACTTTTGGGCCCACCCAAGTCCTTTCCAGTGGCTTTTCCATACAACTGGCCTCTCTTCCCCCATGCTTCAGATTTTCCTAAACTCTCAAACAAGCAGCATCTGGCCTCCGCGTACCCAATATCTTCGGCTAAGTGGCTTCAGGCACTAGCAGTAGCAGCCTTGGTTCGCACCTTGGCCTCTCCTGGGCACCTTCAAGCCCAGTACAAGTAGCAGCTATCTGTAAATTGCTCTATAGCTCATGGCAGGGTGGCCCCAGGCACAGCACAGGCAGTGGCTGACCTTGGACCTCCTGGGAGGCCCCAGAGCCAGTGCACCGATTACAACCCTACCACCTCCATAAGCTACACACTCAAGGGGCTGACTCAGTGAGCACCAAAGGCCCAATGAAGCAGTTGTAGCCAATCCTCACAGCAAAACGAACAGGGAGTCAATCCCTCCCCGTGATGCCAACAGCAATCAAGGCTCAAAAACAACAGGCTCAAAAACACACAGCCCACACAGAGGTGCACCTGGAAAGCTCAGCTCAGGTGAATGGGGAGGCTGCACCACTGGGCCCTACAGGACACCTACAGCACAAGGCCACTCTTCCAAGTCCAGGAGATGTAGCAACTCTACCTAATACAGAGAAACAAATATAGGGAAGCAGCCAAAATGAGGAGACAAAGAAACAGGTCTCAAATGCAAGAATAGGAGAAATCTCCAAAAAAAGACCTCAATGAAATGGAGGCAAGCAAACTACCAGATATAGAGTTCAAAACAATGACTATAAGGATGCTCAAGAAACTTAGTGAGAACTTCAACAGCATGAAACTATCAAAAGAATTAGTTAGAAATGAAGGATATACTAACTAAAATGAAGAATAATTTACAGGAATCAACAGTAGAGTAGATGACACTGAGAGTCAAATCAGCGATTTGGACTATAAGGAAGTCAAAAACATCCAATTAAAACAGCAATAATAATAAAGAATCCAAAAAAAGTGAAGTCAGTGTAAAGAGCCTCTGGGACAACTTCAAGCATACCAACATTCACATCATGAGAAGAGAGAAAGCAAGAAATTGAAAACTTATTTGGAAAAATAATGACAGAAAACTTCCCTAGCCTGGTGAAAGAAATAGACATACAAGTCCAGGAAGCACAGAGAGTCCCAAACAAGAGGAACCCAAAGAAACCCACACCAAGAAACAAAATAATTAAAATGCAAAAGGTTAAAGACAAAGAGAGAATCTTAAAAGCAGCAAGAGAGAAAAACAGTTAGTTACCTACAAGGGAGCTCCCAAGATTGTCAGCTCATTTCTCAACACAAACTTTGCAGTCCAGAAAGGAGTGGCAAGAAATATTCAAAGTGATGAAAAGCACAGACTTACAACTAAGATTACTCTAGCCAGCAAAGTTTCCATTTAGAATTGGAGAGATAAAGAGTTTCCCAGGCCTGGTTGGCGTAGCTCAGCAGCTGAGCATCGACCTATGATCCAGGAGATCATGGTTCGATTCCAGGTCAGGGCACACGCCTGGGTTGCGGGCTCGATCCCCAGTAGAGGACGTGCAGGAGACAGCCAATCAATAACTCTTTCATTATTGATGTTTCTGTCTCTCTCTCTCCCTCTCCCTTCGTCTCTCTGAAATCAATGAAGATATATTTAAAAAAAAAAAAAAAAAAAAAAAGAGCTTTCCAGGAGGTGGGTGGGGAGACATTAACCAAATAACTTATACCACCACCAAACCACTATTATATAAAATGTTAAAGGGTTTTCTTTAAGAAGAAAAAAGAGATTAAAAAAATGAACAATAAAATGGCAATAAGTACATATCAACAACTGAATCTAAAAAACAAAATAAATGAACAAGTAGAACAGATGCAAACTCACTGATACAGAGAACATTTTGAATTGACGGTTGCCAGAGGGGAGGACGTGAAAAAGGTGAAGGGATTAAGAAGCACAAATTGGTAGTTACAGAACAGTCACGGGGATATAAAGAACTGCACAGGGAATATAGTCAATACTATTCTAATAACTATGTATGGTGTCAGGTACAAGATTTATCAGGATAATCACTTAGTAAATTACATAATGCCTAATCACTGGGGTGCACACCTAAAACTAATATAATACTGTATGTCAACTATAATTATAAAAGATGATTAAAAACAAAACAAAGCCCTGGCTAGTGTTGCTCAGTGGTTTGAGCATCGGCCTGCGCACTGAAGGGTCTTGGGTTCGATTCCCAGTCAAGGGCATGTACTTAGGTTGCAGGTTCCCCTGTCCCGACTGGGGCATGTGTGGGAGGCAACCAACTGATGTGTCTCTCTCACATTGATGTTCCCCCCACC